CATCTGTAACTAACAAATTGCAGGATTATAGTCAAGATATTGTGTAGAATTACCAGTCATCAGTTGGCAAATTATGATATAGGCCTCTTTCATTCTGACTCCAAATAGGTTACCTAAGATTTTATATGAATATTTCGGAAAGATATTTGTCAAGTATAGAATACTTCACACAAATCGAAAAAAACGATGATAACTGATAATCCGTGTTTTCTTATTTATTCATATTTTACTATAAACTTTTCATCTGTAGTGCATCTCAGTCTTTCTCTATTTCCCTCCCACCGTCTCTCTGTCTCTGTCTGTCTGTCTGTCTGTCTCTGTCTCTCTCTCTCTCGCAGTCTCTTTCTGACATTTTCTTTCTCTCTCTCTCTCGCAGTCTCTTTCTGACTCTCTCGCAGTCTCTAGCTCTCTCTCTCTCTCTCTCTCTCTCTTTCTCTCTCTCTCTCGCAGTCTCTTTCTGATTCTCTCTCTGACTCTCTCTCTCTCTCTCTCTCCTCTCTCTCCTCTCTCTCTTCCTCTCCCCCCTCTCTTTCTCCCCCCCCCTCTCTCTCTCTCTCGCAGTCTCTTTCTGATTCTCTCTCTCTCTCTCTCGCAGTCTCTTTCTGATTCTCTCTCTCTCTCTCTCAGTCTCTTTCTGATTCTCTCTCTCTCTCTCTCGCAGTCTCTTTCTGACTCTCTCTCTCTCTCCCCCCCCCCCCCCCACCCCCCCCCCCCCTCTCTCTCTCTCTCTCTCGCAGTCTCTTTCTGATTCTCTCTCTCTCTCTCTCGCAGTCTCTTTCTGATTCTCTCTCTCTCTCTCTCTCTCTCTCTCTCTCTCTCTCTCTCTCTATATATATATATATATATATATATATATATATATATATCTTTGTGTGTGTGTGTTTCTTTCTCTTTTTCTTGCCCAATCTGTCGAGAATGACGCTCAAGAAGTGTGACAGAGGCAGGGGACCATCTCTTCTTTATCTTCATTTTAGTACACTTCATACATGCATTGAGTGCCATGAAACGCACCTCTCCGTTACAAGTGTAATAATTGTCATCAATATTATTTCTTTTATCTGAAGAAATTACTCGATAACCTATATTACATCAAAATATCCTCGTATGATACATAAGTTTGAAATACATTTTTTTCTGTAGCAATTATCATTTGTAGTGTGTGTGTGTGTGTGTGTGTGTGTGTGTGTGTGTGTGTGTGTGTGTGTGTGTGTGTGTGTGTGTGTGTGTGTGTGGAAAAGAGCTAAGCTCAGGTGGTCCCGTCTTCTATATTTAGATTATAATATCAATAACATTTCAAATTGATGCACATTATTTGAAGATTGTTCCATGTTTCAATAGTTCTGTTTAGGCAACTACCTTCTTGACCTCTTTCTCGCCTCTCTTTACTTTCAACTTTTTGCTTTGTCCTCTTGTCCTTCTATCACTCTTCCTGTAATATAGCTGAACATCATCATCACCTCTTTTTCTTCTTTCTTCCAAAGTAGTAAGACCTATTTTCTGTAGTTTTCTTCGTAGCTCATATCTCTTAGAGTAGGTGCCCTCTTGTGGCTGCTCTTTGAACTAGTTCTTGTTTATCTATATCATTTTTTAAGTGTGGACTCCATATCACTGCACCATACTCAAGACTAGGTCTTATGATGGCTCTTTACCGTGTCTTCGTCCGCTTGCACGAATGCCCTCTTCATGTTGGCAGTCAGCCCTAGCATTTTATAAGCTTTGTCATTTATATGATCATTTGGGCTTAGGTTCCTGTTTATGATTACTCCAAGGTGTGCGTGTGTGTGTGTGTGTGTGTGTGTGTGTGTGTGTGTGTGTGTGTGTGTGTGTGTGTGTGTGTGTGTGTGTGTGTGTGTGTGTGTGTGTGTGTGTGTGTGTGTGTGTGTGTGTCTGTGTGTGTGTATCTCTATCTCTATCTCTATCTATATCTATCTATCTATCTATCTATCTATCTATCTATCTATATATATATATATATATATATATATATATATATATATATATATATATATATATATATATATGTATGTATGTATGTATAATATGGTTACCGACTGTGTAAATAGTAGAGAAAGCGACCTAACACGTAATCTTTCGTTGCAGTGTACAATAATATGAAAATAAAAAAGCTTTATAGAATAAATTAGAGATGTGTCTTACTTTATCAGTATTATATATTATTATTCATATGAAGATAAGGTTCATAATCATTAGTTATTAGTTACAGCTGAATCATATAAACAACTAGCATGAAGATCACCACGAAAGAGTACAACAATTACTTTTTCGTACAATATTGTTCTCCCGGCTAGAGGATGAGCATCTTCAGACCAGACGTCAGGAAGTAACTGTTACCGTGAAAATGTGGGCTGATACCTTATTTATAGTATTCATTTCCATCTGTACAGCGCTTTTTGGCGAGGGTAAGTGTAGTGTAGAGTGTAGAGAAATATTTCATCCCCAGAGACCCGGTCGACGTCTCAGCTGGACTTATTCTTGACAGGAAAGGGCTGGTCTGTCGTCTGCAGGGAAGCCTAATAACAGAGTACATCTGTTTGAGGTTCGTTTCCGCTCTTGAGTAACCACATTATTAAAGCTGGTAATTGTTACCGGGAACGACGCTCCCTCTAGAGACTTGAGGGATGTAGGGAACCGTGTTAAATGTTGAAAAGTAAAATTTCTAAAACCCAAGCCAAACTTTGTGTCTTGTAAACAACAGTGATGTCGATTTTTTAAAAACCCAGTGGCTGTTGTTATGACTAGACGTAACAGTAGTCCGCTGGCTATTGTTACAGTGATGGTTACGCATCAAGTCGGAACAATAGTCCACTGCGTCTGGAACCTTTTTGTGCATCAGGAGTGCGTCCGGTAGAAAAATGTGCATCTGGAAGAGCGTCAGGAAGAAAAATGTGCGTGTCTAACGAAACATGGGTCCAATATATCTGTATAAGTGTTTATCATGGATCTAACACAGTGTGTCCAGAACCTTTATGCTAGTCAGGAGCATGTCCGGTAGGAAAATGCAAGGCTGGAAGCGCGTCAGGAAGAAAAATGCACGTTAAGAACAGTTTTCTAACGAAACATGGAAACATGAATGGAAAAAAACCCTTCGTGATTCCAAAAGATAGGAGATCGGCCAAACCTAACCTAACCGAACCTAACCTAACAAAACCACCATGATAAACACTTATACAGATATATTGGACCCATGTTTCGTTAGAAAACTGTTCCTGATTCACATTTTTCTTCCTGACATGCTTCCAGACGCACATTTTTCTACTGGATGCGCTCCACGCGCAAAAAGGTACCACATTTTAGGTGGACCGGTCCACTGGCTAGGCTATTGTTATAACAGTAGTTTATGGTTAGGTTAAATTAATTCAGGTCAGGTTAGGTCAGTTCAGGTCTATATGTATTGGTTAGGGATAACCTAACCTAACATAACATAACCAAGATCCTGTGAAAGGCCTAGAAACTAGGCTAACTTACATTTGATTTGGTTTTGCACCCACTGAAGGCCTATGCTGATAGTTCCTTCCTCCATGCTAACATGAATCATCATTGGTGAAGAATTTCAAATCTGATTATAAAGTCTGATTTGGAGCATGTGTTTTTAGTAGATTCAATTGATCTTGAGTTCCTTGTGTAAAGGTTCACACAAGCACTTTTTTCCCTGGCTGAAATGGCTGTCTGAAGGTCTGAAAATGAACTCTGATTTTTTTACTCCAGTTTTGCTGGTATATCACTAGCAGTCATTTTTTTATCATTTGCTGTGGATCTTCTCCAATAGAGGGCTCCGTAAGGATTGTCGGAACAATAGCTGGTGGACTATTGTAACGCCTAGTTGTAACAATAGCCACTAGGTTTTTGAAAACCTGAACCAAAGTTTGTCCAATGAACAGAATAAAGTAGCTCCCACATAAATAAGCACAAATTGGTATGTACTAAAAGTCCATTTTCAGAAAAGGCAGACCAGGTTTTGAACAATGCAATTATAATAGATTGTTCAGTCGCACCTAGAAATGCAACCTAGCCTTACCTAGCTTCTATTTATTTGCTAGACAGGAGGGGAGGATAAACCCCCTGTACCTCCCCCCTTTATTAGCACTTTGTGTCAAGAGATGTATTTGTTAAAGAAAAGAAATTGTGACACACTGTAAGTGTGGTGGATAGAGATGAACTTTTAAACTCCTCTCGAAATGGAGAATATACCTATTATTCAATGAAATAGAGAATATATCAAGTGGACAGTCTGAGTTGATAAAATGATAAGGTAGAAAAACAAAAATCCAGAACAAAATTGATAATCATCAGTAGTAAGACAGCAATTAGTGATTGCTGGTGATGCCATGCTTGTTACTTTGGAAAGGCCATTAACTGTTTGTATATTCCAAGGTCAAACATTGTTATAATAGTTAATTTTTTTACTATGGCAGTTGGGCCTTTGAGGATAATATTTATTTCATCAGATTTATTCTCGTGTGAAGAGAACAAATCTGATGATTATTTCTGTCACAATGACAGCCAACAATCTTAATTTGATAGTCCTGATAGCAGGGTAGGGCATGTAGGAAATTATGGCATAAAACGAAAAGGAATATGAAGAATAGAGCTCAAAAATGTGTAAAACCAGCACAAATAAGGCTTAAATTCAGCTAATGAAGCTCAATGGACATTCCCGCCTTTGAAAGGCTGTGAACTGAAGTGCCAATTTTAGAAAAACTACAGGAATCAAACCCATTGTTTGGTAGAATCTACAGGATTTCACACAATCCAAACCCTTTATGGTAATTGTACAGTACGTTCTAAACAACCCAGCCTAATCTTAAACCTATGGAATTTATACATTATCTATATATTCCCTCTGGACCCCCATTGTAAAATGATGTACCTTTAAATAACGGAACAACAAACTTTTCTTCATTTCAAGAAGTATAATGAAATAAATGAATGCATTAAATACATGAATAGGCAAAAGCAGGTGTTGTTAATTACCAAAAAATTGTTGACACAAGTGTGTAGCAAAACATGAGCTACACTTGGAACATGTTTGTAATCCTTTGCTATAGTGTCGCTAGTATGTCAAATTAAGTCATTCTATTTGATTACATAGATTGATTAAAATAATATTGACTGTTATTTCAATATCAGAAAAAAACTGTTTATTTTTCAGTATCTCAGTATTGCACTCCTCTGTTCAGTTGACCACAGTTGTAGCACGGATCATTACTTATTGGCTGCCTGTTGCATCTTGTTTTCTTTTTTTAATATGTAGGTATAGAAAATTAATCTATTTTTTCTGTTGATTATAATTTTAAGTTTATGAAAATAGTACTAATCATATATATTTATAACTTAACTATTGCAGAACTTAACAATAATGAATGTCTTTAACACTGCATTCAGATTATTGAATATCAATGTATTTGTCATTAGTAAAACAAAGGCAGGTAACAGTTATACATTTATATTAATATCTCTATCTGTCTATCTCTTTATCTATCTATCTATGTAAATTTGATATTGATAAGTAGATAAGATTATAACATAACAGAGAAATTATTATGGAACTATTCACGCTAAACAATCCTAGAGAATGTGTGTATCAGTCATTCATTTCATTCAGTAAATATATTATCTATTACTAGGAGACCCTTAAGATCTTTTTCACTTTTCAGTAACTGTTTTCTTCTTTTTGCTCTTCCTGTGGTAAATTCTATTATTGACCTTTGTTATTGTTATTTTCACTATATTTACCATTATCATTATTATTATTTTCATGATCATCATAATAATGATAATGACAGTGGAGTAATAATGATAATGATGATAATAGAAATAATGAAAACAATAACAATAATAGTGACAGTGACAGTGACTGACTGACATTAACATTGACACTGATGATGATGATGATGATGATGATGATGATGATGATGATGATGATGATGATCATCATCATCATCATCATCATCATCATCATCATCATCATCATCATCATCATCATCATCATCATCATCATCATCATCATCGTCTTCATCATCGTCTTCATCATCGTCTTCATCATCGTCTTCATCATCGTCTTCATCATCGTCTTCATCATTATCATCATCATCATCATCATCATCATCATCATCATCATCATCATCATCATCTTCATCTTCATCATCTTCATCATCATGCATTTACATTTTGATGTATATATATATATATATATATATATATATATATATATATATATATTTCATATATATATTTCATATATGTATACATAGATGTACAATATGGTAAGACATATAAGACTATGAAGAACGATTCAGACATAGAATACGAGAAGACATATTAATAGAATATAAGAAAGAGAATGAAGAGATAGACATATAATACATATAATACATAGAAGACATATCAGTACAGATAATACACATAAACAGAGAATACATGATACTACATAGAAACATGAAGACAATACAGAATATACAATCACATATAATAAGAAAACAGATAAAGATAAAGACAGAGAAAGATAGACGAAGATAAGCCAATAATAATAGAAGTATCAGAGAATGACAGATATTATGACATAGAAGACAGAGCATCCTATAAGACAGAAGAAGACAGTAAGCACATATCAACAGATAAGACATAAAGACTCTAATACATAATAATGACAGAGAAGGATAGTAAGTAGAGATCATAATATAATAGAAGAAGAAGAGAGAATAGACGAGATAGTAGGAAGAGATATAAGGGAAGGAAACTGAGATATGAGAGATAGAATAGATAATATACAGATAGATATAGAAGTATATATAGATATAGATGAGAGAGAGAGAAGAGATAGACAGTAGAGACAGCGATCGTATATAGATAGATAGATATATAGATATATAGTATATTATATATATTATATATATTTATAGGTATGCTATATATATATGTATATATATATACTGTATATATCATATATATATATAATATATAGAGATATATATGTATATATATGGCGATATAATGTATATATATGTATATATCTGTATATGTATACGTATATATATGTAGTATATATATATATATATATAATCTAGCGAGATCTAGTATAGAGAGCGAAGAGAGAGGTAGATAGATATAGATTATGTAGATATAGAGAGAGATATATGATGAGACGTGCTGGTATATATAGATAAATAGATATATACGGGAGCTAGATGATAGAGAGGGATATGATAATAGATAGATAGAGATATGGAGATAGAGATGAGAGAGAGACAGATAGAGAGAAGAGATATAAGAGAGAGATACATATATAGAGATATAGTAGACGGAGGAGGACATAGATAGAGAAAGAAAGAGAGAGATAGATAGACAGAGATATAGAGATAGACAGATATAATAGATATATAAATAGAGAGTAGAGTATATA